ATGCGCGTCTAGAAGATTTTTTTTTCGTAAATTTCCACGAATGATTTGAGTTTTATATTAAAATTAGGCTTTTTTTAAAACTTTAGTTTAAACACTGGTGAGTGATTCAGATGAACAATTTATAGACTGGGAGTTTTATGTACAAAAAATAAATATGACAAGAGATAATAAAAAAAATGCAATTAAAATACTGGTATTGTAATACCTTTAGTATTGTTGTAAAAACCCTATCAATTTTATAATAATGATTATTTTTTCTATAAAACAACTGAAAAATCATATATTACTGTAGTTTATTTTTCATTTTATAGACTAAACAAAACAATAACTCTAGTGGCCTTAATCACTATGGTCTCGATATTTTTGACGTCACGCGATCTTTTATGTTAGTTATGACTGATTCTTTTTTTATTAGACAACATCTTTAAGTCAAGTAGTCGCAAAAATAGTCGATCACTAGATTTTAAAAATCGATTTCTGAATCGATCGATGACCAAAACTTATTATCGATTTTTATCCAATATATCTTAATCAATCATGATTTTTAACAGGTCATGTTAAAAAATCGGCTATTAATTAAGTAAATGTATTAATTTAAATTTATAAATCCTAAATATGACACCTTGGAAGTATCGAATTTTTAGCTGTTAGATTGAAGTTTAAAATGACATATCGATATTTTTCTGTAGTCCACGATTGATATTTTGGTACAAACTAATATACTGTATCTTATTATGCATTTATCTTAACAGTCTGCAACAGTCTTGGTAATTGTTAAAGTACCTATAATAAAGCGTAAGCGTAGTCTGAGTATTCGTTAGTAAAACTAACTTAATTGAATGAGATCATGAGTGATTGGATTCTGATAATCTAATTAGAGAACTAGCGGTATTTCGTTAATCTACCTTATTAGATGACTATGTGTTATATAATCTGCAGTTGAATTTCAGTCATAGTTTTGATATTTTCTATCAGAGATTCCACTTGTATCGTCCGTTAAGTACTTATATTAGTAATTTTTTTAAATTTTCTCATGGTACTTCTTAAAATGGCGTCATCATCGGGAATTGCACTTGTAATTATGAAAAGTGAGAGTATTGTATGCATTTATAATATACAGTTTGGCGATTTTTGTAAATTTAATAATAATGTATACATTTATGAGAATAAACAAATAAAAAAAAAAAAAAATAGCAAATATGACTTTAATATAATCATTACATGAAAATATTAGTACATAGGCAAACTTTATCCCACTTTACCAATTAAACCGCAAAGTTCTAATCAACCACCAATATGAAATACCAAACGATGAAGGAACAGTTCAACAAATTTTCCAATAGAGAAGCAATCAACGATGGTCCTATTCAAATATTTAACATCCCACGAATAAAGCGGGAGGGCATAAAATGTGAAATTTTCATCGAGTTAACGTGCATTCAATTGCATAATGATTCCAGAACGTTCGAGAACCGTTTAAATGGAAATCATTTCTAAAACTGTCTTTAAACCGTTATAACTTTGATTTTCTTTTTGATTTTCTATTAATAATAGTTAGCTAGTTCTCTTTTATGCTGATGTCCGTCGCTTTGCCGTTTTTAACTCGATTAAAAAAGGTATGTATAAGAATGTCAATTGGCTTTTTTATATTTATCAGAACTAGGTCGTTTGGAAAATTATTTGTTTGGTTTATAAAAAATTGCATTTTGCTAAACTTTTGAATGTAATTGAATGTTTCAAATGTGGTTCTAGCAGGAAATATTGCCCTTTTCTGTAATGTAATAAACAGGTTCGGTCATAGTATAGTAGTATAGGTTTGGTATAGGTATACTAAAACCAAAATTTTTCATACACAAAAGTTTGAATTTCACACGCATCTGTGCGTATTCTTACTCCATAGAACAATAGTCATGAACTCATGAATCTTAGTACAAGCATTGTACGATACAAAGACAATTAATTAAATTCGTGTGTTTATGTTTATTCAGATTTTATTCAAGTTAAGTCATTAGAAGGTGTGTCTATTATTTTCGGTTCATTCACTATTCTGCTATTAATTTATTGGTATTGGCAAATAAGGAAAGTCGAAAGGGCGTAAATTCCAAAATTAACATCTGGGTTTTTTTTATAACCGTCGTCATCACCATCAACCTGATTTCGTCCACTGAAGACAGAGCTCTTGAATAGTCAGTATTTATCATCGAACTTGAGCCTACTTCTTTTTAAAAGATCGTCAATGTACTCCTGGTGGTACAAGTATTCACAGATGATCAGGATTGCTCACACGATTGGTCTGCTCGTGAGACCTCTTGACTTATATATACAATGGGCTAAGTTTCCAATTTCCGAATCATCGGTTCCCAATCGACAAAAATCTGCATAAAGCAGAGCTAAAAGTACTCCTAATTCACAGAATGGCAGTCTGTGGAAAATTTTATTTCATCATTCTTTGGTTAGAATTTCATGCCATTTTATTGTCTTTGCATTCAATCATAGCCATTTTATCAACAGAGAAGACTACACATTTTGTACGCTTGAACGTCTGCAACAATATACAATCTAGCTCAGAGGTAGTAAAGCAGCGCCTCATCTCTTTTCCCACCGAACAATGGGAGTGACACTTCGTAGCGTAAGCATTGTAGGTACAATATACATTGCGCAGGTACCTTAACGTCTGGAGACAATTCACAACACTGCACTTACAATGTAAAGCAATGTTGTCATGCAATGCGAAACACTCCATGACATAAAACATAGTTCAGAACAATGACTGGATTTGGTTATGACTCACTGTCGGATTGTTAATGTTATTTGTTTAGCAAAAGATGATTGGGGTGTTAGGAGAAAGAATAACAATTTTGGTTCCATTATATCTTTCGTGAGAATATCATCATCATAATAAATTAATTATTATGTTGTCGGCTTACTCACTTAACTGACTCGACTAGTTTGAAGCCATGCTAGAGGCCCATACTTATGCATTCGGCGACACACAACGAGGCGAAGAGTCGCCGCGTAATTACAGCAGCAGTAGCCCAACAGTACCTTGTTGAGTTCCTCGCAAACAATTACGTTAGTAAGCCGAAAACATAATAATGAATTTTGGATCTATTTTGTAATTACAATCATTTTTGTCGTAGACCCGAAAATCGTTGTGTAGAACACCTCCATCCTTCCATAACGGTCTACATATTAGACTAATCTTTTTAGAGGGGTTTTGGAGTAGAAACCACGCCTAGGAAAACATAGAGACGTTCAGCTTCTTCAGGTGATCATACAATACACTCACCACCGGTATCTGGCCCCCGTAAGCGCGGGCCTGTGGACGACGAGCATGGGTGGCTCGATATCTGATCAGAACCAGACCCGAGCGTTCGGCGCGTCGTACCACCACGGATGGGGCCCAATAGGGCTGATGCCGATTCGGAATCGCGGAGAACCTAACCGGGATTACCGGGGCTCCGGCTCGAAGTGCAGTAGAAGGAACGGGGTTTTTAGTCAGCAAGAGTCTTATACTCCCTTCCGCCTCACCCAGGCGGGAGCAGTCATTTGATGACTTTCCCCCCTTAAAAAAACACTCACCACAAGGTGACAAGTAATTTGGATAAAAGCTGTTGATGACGACTACGCAACTGTTAATACCAGAATCAATTTTGATTCCTCACTCGAAAAAAATCGAGTTCATTCTTGACGTCACAGTTCATAGTTACCAATTATAGCATTGATGAAGAACAATAACAATTAAAACAGCCATAGCGTTGTGTTGTGATAAAGAGGTCGCGAGTTCATATCCTACTAACTGACATACATTCAACTCGGTCCTGTGGGATGAACAGCATAAAATTACGCCTTTTAATTTAAGCTACAAATACGTATAAATTAGTTGCTGCAAGTGTATCTTCAATTATGGTGAAATGTATTCTCAGTAGGAGAGAGAAACGTAGCTCCAATCACGGAGTTTAGAATCTAAACACAACTGATGAAGAACGCTGATATAAAAAATCATTTTATATGTTTTGTTTGTTTAAGAAATAAGGAGTTCTTAGTACGACTTTGGTTGTAGGAAATTTCTTATTGTTTTTTTTTTATAATTGATGGGGCGACGTTTGGCCACTATCTCGCCTGGTAGTAAGCGATGATGCGGTCTACGATGGAGCATGTCGTCCCGCAAGCAACCTATTCACTCGGGCCTTGAAAACTCCCTTCAGGAATTACAGACTCTGGCAAAGAAGTCGACTATATGTAATATTATATGTATATGTATTATATTTGTACTATCTATATTATGTTATACAACTGGAAATTCCAAAGCAAACGGTTACCAACTCCACAATAAAGTGACATAACGTGATTAGCGAGTATCAACGTAACTATACAAATCTTTACAACTTCTTATCATGAGATTTTGATAACATCTAATTAGTCGTTTTATGATTTAATCTCCCTCTCAGTTTTTCATTGTTTATAAAATACATTAGGTATGTACAGAAACATATGTAAACGAACATCGTTATTATTTATCTCTTGGGGGCCTTCTTGGTTACTTTTTTTGTTTAGTGCTTAATGTTGGGTAAATGAATTCAAGACCCGCCCAGACGGAGGCCCAATTACCCTCCCCTTCCCCAATCTCCCCAATCCCTGAAGCCCCAACGATCCTCAAACTCCTAATCCCCAAAAAGCCGGTAACGCACTTGTAACGCCTCTGGTGTTCCTGGTGGCCATGGGCGATGCCGATTGCTTACCATCAGGTGATCCGTCTGCTCGTTTAACGGCTTATGCCATAAAAAAAAGACCTAAATGGTTGAAATGAGTGTTTTAAACTACAACTGACACAATATGTCTTAAGCATAGAAATTATGAAAAATAATTTATAGAAGGACAGGAGAAGGTTCACTAGTGGACTATGTTAATACCTGCTGATGATAATATTTACTTTTTTTAACATTTTATTGTTTTGTTTCAGAATTTAACACAAACAACGTTCCAGACCAGTGAACAAGATGGTGGACAAAATGTCGCGGTACAGATATGCACCGCTACTGGTGTTCCAAATATTCCTGATGATCTTATACATACTGTTCACCACATATGGAGGCGCTGAAGAAGCCAATATTAAAGGTAAGGTTTTACTGCATTTTATAGATCTTATCATAAAAGTCAGGAAGCTACTGGGTGCGCTTCCAACCGGCCGATCATTGCAGGAGAAAGGCTTTTGGCCAGCTGTGGGCGCCTTCTGGCTAAGGATAAGGATATTTCAAGAAGTTAATATATAAAATGAAAAAGAGTAATTAGGGCATTAATACTTGAGAGTTGTATCTTTGTCTAAAATCGAGAACAACTCCAAAATCCATGCTCACTGAAAACATTCTAATTGGAAAACAAATATGTACATAATTGGACATTCTCCAGTTACACGTAGATACATCATGTGATGACTTAATCAATCAAACGGCATTTCAAGCTGAATATCCATAAAAACTGCATTAATTTTGTGCTTGTGCACTTCTGTCTATTCCATTTGGGATCAACAAGCGTGACATTTACCTAATTGTTATTTAACACTCGTATCATGTAACAACTAATTATTTCGTTGGTAATTCGATCGCAATGATGATTGCTATGAAGTCATGTCAAGGCACCGATGCCATCAACTATTGCATTCGCATATTAGCGTCAGTCAACGAGCCATTCAATTAATCTATATTCCATCTTTATCTGGTCGACGTGTTCAATTAATTCATTCGCGCTTCCTTCGCAAATCCATATGCGCTGTTTTAATTTATTAAACAAGAGTGTTCTGTTTTAATGAACTGCACTAAAATGTAGTTTTATGCAAATTACGTTGAATAACAAATGTACTTTATTATTTTACTTGCAATTTACTGTAGACTATTATAACGGACATTCGTTTTAGTTTTGTTATTTTATTTTATGCGACATTTGCATCATACAGAGTTTACATAATTATTATAAATTTTCGCGAATAATTTATTATTAATAATTGAAACTTTATTTATATTTACGGCAGAAATATTGACAGAAATATTTGTATGTTTCTATGATACAAATATATGTTTTTATGATTTAACTAGCTTTTACCCGCGGCTTCGCTCGCGCCACAAAAGGATAAAAAGTAGCCTATGTGACTATCTATCCGTTCAACTACCTTCAGTTAAAAAATCACGTTAATTAGTACCTCCATTCTGCCGTTTAAGATAGGCAAACAAACAAATAGCTTTCCGCTCGCGTGGAATTCGATTATATCGCGCTATTTAGATTTTTCCAATAAGTAAGTAATTCGTTGACTGGTTTTAAATGACATACAACGCCATCTATACCAGTACATACAGCGCCATCTATACCAATATTTTTGTTTTTCCTAGGAAATATCAATTTTTTCCGGAATAAAAAGTACCCTATTATTTAATCCAGACTTCTAACTTTACGTCTGCAAAATTTCAAAGCAATCGGTCTAGTAGTTACGTGAAGGCGGAACAAACAAACAAACTCACTTTCCGATTTATAATATAAGTAAGAAAGTAACGATTACGTACAAAAATACATAGATAAAAACTATATTTGTATGATTTAAAACTACCCTAAAAACTTAGCAAGTCAATTTCTAAGCTATCACACAATAGACAGACGAACAGACATTCGTAATTCAATACGGTGTCACTAATGCTATGTAAGATATGTAGAGGGCGCCACAGTATTATGTTTCACACTAAATTGTTAATGTCATCGCGAGCGTTGTCAATTAAAATAATGCTCTCCGTGTGAATAAGGACTGGCGTACAATTAATTTGCTTGAAATTCCACATTAATCCAGTGGAGTCGAGGCCGGTAACGAGTGGGTACGGATACTAGATAGGGCTGTCGCCATGGCATGTACAAATAAAAATGGTGTTTTATGCACTTTAAAATAAATAAAGAATCTACAATTGGAATAGGGTTGAAAAATATTTGTGTTTAATTCCTATTTAGTCTAGGAGCATGTTCCAAAAATTCTAGATTATAGTGTAGTAGGTATTGCGTGATTTTATTATAGACATTTATGATAATTACCATTTATTCGTACTATGATTGTATTGCTATGATTGTAGACTGCCTCGTTGGCTGAGTGGTCGCAAGTGGGACTGCCAGGCAAGGGGTCTCGGGTTCAATACTCGGGTCGGGCAAAGTATTACTGGTTTTTTGTTAAAAAATCCTGAAATTGTGCCCGTTATATGGCAATAGGCTCACCCCCTATTACATGAGACTCACAACATAAAAAGTGAAAAGTGGGTGTTAAATTGTTACAATGTACACCTCTGCCTACCCCTTCGGGGATAAAAGGCGCGATGTTATGTTTATGTGATTGTATTACATTCCAACGTTTTATTGTTAGTAATTCTTATAGATGGCTGAAACAATGACATCATACGTTTGTCATAACTGAAGAAGGCATAAAAATATATCGGATTAGTCAGGGCAAAGATCAACTCCATTGTATTTGAAAGAAATCAAAACATGATAGGTGATCTGATAATAAAAAGCCTCGTTATATTTGTACTATACTACTGTACTTTGTACGTCATATAAGATTATTTATTTGCACAAAAGTAAGCCTTGAATTTCTCATTTGCCTTAAAACTGAACCTTGAGTCTTTAAATTAAAAAATATTATTCTAAAAAAAAACAGCGTTGCATTAGTCACAAGTCACAACCCTAGTGTTGTGAACTGCCAGGGAATGTACCACAAATTGAATTCTCGACATATGTATGAGAAGATTCTTATTATAAATTCTATGTCTCATTTAGTGGGTCTTAGTACACTCTTAGTACAATCTCTATATTACCTGGCTATGTTGAATTACATTTGTATAAGTTTTTCATAAATTTTCTATGGTTTTTTTTTCATATTTTTATTGCATAAGCCGGTAAACGAACAGACGGATCACCTGATGGTAAGCAATTGGCGTCGCCCATGGACACCTGGAACACCAGAGGCATTACAAGCGCGTTACCGGCCTTATTAGGATTAGGAGTTTGAGGATCGTTGGGGGTTCAGGGATTGGGGAGATTGGGGAACGGTAGGATAATTGGGCCTCCGGTAACTTTACTCACACGACGAAACACAACGCAAGTGTTGTTTCACGTCGGTTGTATGTGAGGCCGTGGTATCACTCTCGTCGAGCCAGCCCATTTGTGCCGAAGCATGGCTCTCCTACACTTAAAATGAAAGTGAGGTGAGAAAAGTATATCGTGATTAAAGGTACAGAATGGTGCAATGTGGTTGAACTAAACTTAAATGCACTTGTCAGTATTTCTGTTGGTCCTGCGCTACGCTTGCGAGAACCGAACAGTCGCGGATAGCAGCACTTCCTATAAACTTGAACCTATTAAACTGCTATGTCCAACCTACCTATTCTTAAACGTGTGGATATCCTCATGGATACCCTTTGTCTAAACGATGAGTTGTGTCGTGGTGGCTCGGAGGTTTAAGACGCCTGCTTCTCATGCATGAGGGTGCGGGTTCGAAACCTACCAACGGCAAGTACCAATGTGACTTTTTCCGAGTTATATGTACTTTCTAAGATTATTTAGACACCACTGACAAACGGTGAAGGAAAAACATCGTGAGGAAACCTGGGCTTATAATTTCTAATTATAAGTTTGAAATCGCCAACCCGCATTGAGCAAGCGTGGTGATTAATGCTCTAACCTTCTCCGTGTGAGAAGAGGCTTTGCTCAGCAGTGGGCATTTATAGGCTGTTGATGATGAATCAATATTGGTTCAACCAATCGCGAGATAATCAATAAACATAAATACATACAGGTGAAACTGGGAAGCTCCTTTTTTACTTTTTGATAAGATGAAAAAATAGTCGTAGCCTACAGTGCCGCGGAGAACTTAACGGGTTACCGGGGCTCCGGCTCGAAGTGTAGGAACGAGGTGGTTTTTAGTCATTAAGAGTCTGACACTCCCTCCCGCCTCATTCAGGCGGGAGAAGTAATTCGATGATTTTCCACCCTCCTACCAGTGAACTGTCAGAGGGCTTTGATGTCAGCATTGTCCATAACAAATCACAATGCAAATGAACCAGTCATACAAAAATATCAAAATGTACCTCAATACCCTCTAATACTATGACTGGATATTTCAAAAGCAACTAGCACCCTGTCAATACCACACAAAGCCTGCTGCCCTTAGGAAGAAATCTGATATGAGTTCTACAACAGCAGATCAAGTTAACAGAATCTTCTTAAATCAATTTGCAACTTTACGTGTGTTGGTATAAATTCCAAAATCCGTTAAAGAAATTCTACAATTTGGATGTGTGTTGTGTACAACGTCCAAGGTAATTAACACATTGCTATGCGAGGATTCGGGATCGGAATGCGGAAACTGTACTAAATAATTTTGATAAATGTTTTTACGAGGCAATGTTAAACTGTTGACTGCCTCGATGGCCGAGTGGTCGCAAGTGCTACTGCCGGGCAAAAAGTATCAGGTCCGATTCCTAGGTCGAACAAAGTTTTACTGGGATTTTTCAAAAATTCTTACTAGTAGCACGGAGTGTGGAATTGTGCCCGGTATATGGCAATAGGCTCACCCCCTATTACATGGGACTCATAACATAAATAGTGGAAAAATGGGTGTTACATTGTACAATGGCATTAACTCGTCGAGTACCGGTTTTATAGACACAATTAAAGAACAATAGGTCGCGGTCACCGGTGACCGCTTGGTGTTTGACAGATTAAGTGCTGTAATGTGTACCTCTGGTCTGTGCATCTCTGCCTACCCCTTTGGTTTTCTTTCTATAAAGTCAAAATCAATTTGTTTTGTGTGATTCACCTAGAATGTAGACACCTTATGAGCCTAAAATGTTCAATTTAGCTTAATATCACATTAAATTTTTTCTACAAACTCATTCAAAAAACCATAATAATCTCGACAGTATTCCACTTAATATTAGTCGTCCTTGCAACATTTCATAGACAGTTATTTTCATAGACGGACCAATGTTTTATTAATAAAGGGGATATCATTTATATGTCAAGTATGAGTTGTTATTTAAACGGTAAGAATCCACTTACCTACAATTTGTTATTAATAAACTGTGACGGTC